CTGATGTTGGAACTGATTTGGAAAGAAAATCCAGTGGTGCTAGTTTAGCTGCAAAAATTAGAAAGTTATTTGGGGTGGGGGTAAAACATGGCTGGCTGGATAGCTTAGTGATTTAGGTACTGGCTGTAGAGCCAGAGGTTGGGAGTTCAGGTCCCCGCTGTGCCTGCTGTGAGTAGAGCCAGCCTGTGTGGCCTTGAGTGAGCTGCACACCCCCTGAAAGGAATAGTGAACTATTTCTGAGTATTCTCTACCTGGAAAACTCTGAAACAGGTTGTCAGAAGAGAGAACTGACTTGACAGTGCATGATGATTATGATTATGATGATTATAGAACTTGTAGGATCTCACCAATCAAAACAGTTTCACCAACTGGGAATTATAATCCAAAACAGTCACTTTTCCTAGCTCTGGATCAGTAATTTATGCTCAAAATCATTGTGCATTAAATATGGAAATCTATTTTTTTGGCTTCTGGTAATTTATTTATTTGAAATATAACTGCTCTTCACTGAAAGGAGCAGCAGAATTTACAGCAGAAAGTTTGGAGCAGGGCATGAATATTGTGCATTTGAGCTGAAAGGAAGGAAATGAAGGCCAAGAGAGAGTTATCTCTCGTAGGAAGGACTGGAGTGGCTAAAAAGAAAAGGATAAGAGAATCTGGAAAGAAAATGGAAGTTGGGAATATTCTGAGGAAAAGTATATTTCCCTATTGTTTCCAAAGTAGTGGCCATATTAGTCTACGCAAGCATATCCAGAAGAAAGCAAACAACACAACACACACACATAATATATATAGTGGTGCCTTAAAAACTATTATACTTCAGTGTGAGATTTCATAGATGCACCCACTTCTTCAGACGTATTAGAGTGAGGTAAAGCCACAGGTTATATACAGGACAGGTAGAGGAAATTAATTAACAAGGTGACAATAGCATAATTAACACAAGTAATTAACTGTAAAAATGTTGATTGCTTATACATTCTATTGTATCTGAAGAAAGTGGGTTTATACACAAGAACCCATATTGAAATACTGTATAACAGTATTTAAGATTCTGCTATGTGTTTTTTTTTTAAGATTACGTGATGGTGATGATGTTGTGTGAGGAAAATAATTGGGGAATGAGGGGCAATATGGGGATATGGGGAGAAAGTGAAAGAGTAAAAATGAAGGAGATTCTGAAGGAAATAATATGAGATTTATTGAAAGCAATAAGGTGACCTAGAAAGAAAAGAGAGTGATAATTGGCAAAGCAGCTTTGGAGTTAATGGGAGAAAATGTTAACATGGGCAGTGAGTGTTCAAGGGTGGGTTGTTTTCCTGAGAGGGATAATTATGAGACATTGGAAGTTAGACCAGAGGACTGAAAATATAATAAGATTGGATATTAGGAATATTTTGAAAACTGGAAACAAGGTAAGTTGGAGGCTCTTCTGAGCAGAGTGACAGGAAAGGAGAGGGCAACCAAGATTGTTGGGTGTTCTGTTGCAGAGGAAATTAGGGTAGCTGCCTCACACAAGAGACATGAAGTATCATAAAAGGGTAACTAACTTGATTTTATTTCTATTATTTAATGTTCTTATATATTTTCTAGTTAGAGGGGGAGGAACTTTTGTGATATCGTGTCTCATAGGCCAAAATAATTTGGTTAGTTTTAGCTACTACTGTCTGTACCTTGGCTTGGATATTAAAGGGGCGTTATTCTCTTCTGACTTAGCATATCTTATACTGTACCAGCTTTCATCCAGAGAGAAGAATTTACTTGAACTATAAGAAATTATTGTTGGGAGTGAGTGCTCAGAGATCAGTAATGGAAGTTACATTTTTTTTGAGTTGCTTAGTCTGGGGGTGGCTATGAGGCTTGACAGCAGCACGTAAAGAGATGTTTCACTTTTAGACTTTTCTATCTCTAGTGGTTATTCCCTTAGGAAGATTCTTTCCCAACATTGCTCTTCTGTTTTCTTCCTGTGGAAGCTGAGAGATATTCCTGGTGAGGTAGGACATAGAAGTGCTGCGTCAGCAAGCAACCATTTTCCCTTTGCATTGCAGGTGCCATTTTGGTGTTAGAACTGAGGCAGTTCTAACACACTAGGAGAGGATTAACAGTCAGTAGCAGCAATGAGAGCTGGCTCTCCATCCTTAGAAATGGTAACAAAGAAGGCTGTGACAGGAAGGGAAATCTGGCCTGTCTTCATAATACTGTCAATCTCACTTTGGTCTGATCTCTGTGAATCAGCCTGGAGTTGTGTTGTACAAACAGCCCAGTCACATCAAAGTCCTCTTGGCATAGGTCCTGACCAAATGAATGGGCCTTGTGCTGGCAGAATGGTATCCAGATTGCAAGAAGGCTGGAATGGTTACAGGGCAACAGGAATCAATTCAGCTGCCCTTCCGTAATCCTTTACTATGTTCCTGTGAAAGAAAAGGCTGCTATTGTTTTTAGTTGATGAGGTGGGTGGGCTATTTTTCACTGTGCAGAATAGGCCAAGACCCAGTGAAAGCTTCTGGAAGGTTGAATGACATCATCCTTTTGCATAAAAATTAAATCTACTTTCAGAATCCACACTATCTGTAAGACCTAGACAGTTGGCTTCCTATACCAGGAAGCATTTGTTTCCATCTTCTTGCACAGTAAAGCTCTATCTTGATTTTGACATAAGGTGCCATGGTAACCGTGTGCCACAGCAACCTTAGACCACACTGTTCTTTGGGCATTACCTCTATGTAGATGCTGAATGCAACTATGCATTTCTTATCCTCAACAAGTTGACATAGGACACAGTATCACAACATTTCAGATAAATATAAGGTGGGAATGCAGCCAAAGCCCTTATACCAAAAACATGGACAAAACCAAACCAGCTGACCTCCAATGATAAAATCAAAGTTAGCAGCACCACAGTGGGGAATCAAAACCCTCAAATGTTCCTCTGGTTAGTCATACCATATATGTCATATTAAAGATAGTGGAAGGTCATTAAAAACTCTGATGTCAACTGAGACAAGGCAGTTTAACGTTGTTCAGTGACTGTTTGTTCACTACAGATGAAACATCTAACCATGCCCAAGCCACCTGTATCTTCTGCTATAATGAAGCATGCAGACAAAAATAGAATATCTGAAACCTTGCTTGCCTTCTATATCCCACTGAAAACCAGAGATGCTTTTATTTCAAGCAGAGAAAAGGCAAGATGTTTAAATTTTTATAATTGACAAGACACTTCTATACAGTGTAGTGACTAACTGATGCTCACCATTTTGTTTCTACAATGGCAAACAAACATGTGTTCATATTCAATTGCTGCAATTGTAGAATGCGCAATCTCAAAATAAAAGCTTGAAAATAATGAGTAATGGTATTGGATAGAGAGGAAATTGTGGCACTTATTACTAATGTGTTACAGACACTATTCATTTGTCACAGTGGAGACCAGGAATTTTTCTTGGGGTTTGTCTTTTGAACAGAAACCACTTTTTCTGAGAACTACAATATATTATTGAGAAATATAGTTTTTCTCTACTTCATCAGCTGAGTTAAAAAGTATCACAGGTTTTTCTGTAAACTTAGCATAACCATGATGTAGACGTCTGAAAAATTCCCAATTTGTACTCTGTAAGCCATCTTGAACAATTATGCTTTGTGGTTTAGAATTGCTCTCTAACAAATTGAGTGTCAGGGTGATTAGAAACACTGTACATAAAATACAGGCAAATGTTTTTTTTTTAAAGAAAAGAAAAGAAAGGAAGACACTAAATATTTGTGAATTGTGTTTTAGCTCTGAAAAAATATGAGAAACATGTTGGGTTAAATAAAAGTGCACATTACAACAATTTTCCCCCTGAAAGCTGTATTTTGCTGGGTAAATTGCAAAATGGTAATAGCTAGGTAACACATGTCCCACTGTGAAATCTAGTCAAAAGTGACAGAAAGCTGAACATAGTAACTACCCTAGAACAGTTGAATGTGATAAGAACTGAGGGTGAATTCAAAGTGGTTTCTGGATCCTTGAGAATTCTTGGTCTAGTAGAGACAAGCACTACTTAAACATGCTCATCCATTTATAGCATAAAGTCCAAGTTAGAGAAGACCTTCAGGCCAGCTTATGGACAATGCTGGCTACATACTCTGAAAAGTTAATTGTCCTGCATATTTTCCACATTGCATTTCATTTAAGAGCAATTATTTAATCACAATCAGAGATAACTGGGAGAGGGCTTACAGTACTAGTAGAATGCTTTTATGTGCCAGTATATTTCTTAGAAGGAAATGCAATAACTGAAAAGGAGTTATATTGTGAAAAGAGAGGTTACCTACCTGTAACCATGGTTCTTCTAGTGGTCCTCTGTGAATCCACTCAATTGTGTGGATTCAGAGGCCACCAAGAAGAACATATAGTTATAATACAGTGGATAGCTCAGGGGAAAACCCTAAAAAGGGTTGCCATAAATTGGAATTGACTTGGCAGCACATATTGTTATGGTTATAATACAGCCGAGCATGTGATGGAGTCCTGCTACAAGGAACACGTATACAAAGGACCAGAAATCTAGAATTTTATTTTCTATATACGAAACTTTCAAAGAGTTTTTGCTTTTTTGAAGAATTGTAACTTGGCCAGATAGCAAGTTTGTCTAGTTTGAGATATTGTGGTCACAATTTAAACGTTATTTTTATACCACAGTCTTTTTGCAAGTGTCATACATGAAAGAGAAAGAGATGGGGAAGCTAGGCAGAGCAAAGACAAGGATGGAAATTGGGAACATATTACCGAAAGCTTTGTCATTTCATACAGAAACGGTTTACAGACAAGGATCACAATGAAACCCTGAAGACAAAGCAACCTATAATGAAAATGAAGATTCCGTCTTCATAATTCCATAGAAATGGCTTAATTCTACATCCAAGTCTAAATTCTGGTTTATAGATGCCTGGAGAATCTATAGTGTACATCCACAAGGAAACAAAGAATGCTAGTAAAAATGCTAACTGGAGACTGTATGTGTCAGTCACAATCTTTATTTCATTTTCCACAAGAACAATCATCGTTCAATATTCCTTTCTTTTGCCATCACCGAATACATACAAAGCACTATGGGACAACTGAAATGCATCAACCATAGGCAACTATGAAAGCTGGAACCTGATAATGAAAAAAAAATGACAGTACTCCTATTAGTGTCAGCAAGTGAGCACTGTAACAAAGAGGAAGCTACCATTACATTTGATCACAGACATTTATTCCCAAAATTTTTTGTGGAATTGCACTTTTATGGAGACAGTCATCAAGTCCACTGGATGTGCGTGTTTGTGGGTTCAGTGCTTCTGCAGCTCTTTCATTCTGTTGAGTGCACTACCAGCTTGGAACCACTCAATTTGAGTCTCGTTGAAGGTGTGATTCAGAATAATTGTTTCTTGGCTCCCATTAGGATGTTTGATAACGCATTTCAGGGGCTATTAGGGAAAACAGAGAAGTCAGAGATTGCTTTTAACACCTCATCCTTTTTGATAAGTCATTAACATATAAAATCATACTTATCCCAATTACCTACCCTCTTTATTAAAAAAATTAATACATTATTTAAAATATATTAAATAAATAACATTTAAAATACTATTTAAATATATTTTTGCTAAATGTTCTTTTAGAAAGGTTTTCGGTGTTGGAAGTCAAATTTTACTCAAAGGTGAGTAACTTTTGAAGTAACTTCTAATGCAGCTGAGGTGATTTTCAGCTCAAGGGCCAACATAAACATGATTCATACTACTTATTGCCCTAATAAGTTAAATTTTAAATGACCAGGAGCAAGTAGTCATGGTAAAAATCTGGGCCTCTTGGCAGCAGCATATAATCCCACACATTAGTGATGAGAGACAGGCAGAGAAGTGAAAAAGATAACATAACTAGCAAGTGTTGGGTGTTCACCATATAAATTTTCCCACAATGTCTACAGTGGTGCCTCGCTTAACAAGTGCACCGTTTAACGATTAATCCGCATACCGATGTGGATTTTGCGATCGCTTTTGCGATCGCATTACAATGTTGCCTATGGGGAAAAATCGCTTTGCGATTTTTCCCCACAGGCAACCATTTTCCCCCATCTGACCACATAGTTATATAAATCTGTCATATTTTCCCTTACCATCCTTCCCGTCTAGGACAGGAATGCTTCACAATGCCCAGGAGAACATTACTGGGTTTCCTGTTTAGGATGGTTTCCCAGACCTTCAGAGGGTTTCAGGTGTCAGAGTCTGATATTTTGTATATATACAGTGTGAGCTTTTGGGGAACAAGTCCACTTCCTCAGATAGACTACATATATGACTATTGTATTTATACAAGGACAAAGTAACAATTAGAGACATGGACTTTGTATTTGTAAACAAACAGGAAGCCCACTGGCACAGGAAGCCGACTTGACGAACACTCGTCCCCAGACCCTGCTGGACCACTTACTGTGCAGCGTGTGTGGCCGGTCATCTTCTGTGCCTCAATCAGAGCACTAGCTTGGCTGCCACAGCCCCACTTCCCTGCTCACCCAGCCACTATGGCAGATGGGGGGGGGGGT